AGTACATTAAAGATTCAAAAACCGTTTTGTTGCGAGAACTAATACAAATGATTCAACTCAATTTGTGTTGTTTTGTACAATGCGGCGATATACAACAATTCACATGTTATATATACTATACATATTAACCTATATATATGTATATATATATATATATTATTGATTGATTAATTGATACGTTTGCCATTTAAATGTGGATATTTTTAACAATTGCTTTGGCTCATTTCTATTGCTTATTTGCTTTTCTCATTAAGTATACGCGATGTTGGCACGCCGACTGCTTTCTATGGTTGTGTGTGTGTATGTGTGTGCGTGTCGTCTGCGTGTGTGTTTGTGTGTGAGTAATATTCAAATTTTTGGATGTACAATTTTTAATATAAGCAAATTCGGCGGCAAATGGAAATTTTTTGGGTGACAGACAGAGAGACGTGTTGGTGAACTGTTGCATGTTGTGTGCTTGTGTTTGTATGTGTCTGAGTGTGCTGTATACAAATAACGCATACACATTATATATATATTAACACATAGGTAGACACATATAGACTATATATATATGCGTGTTTCTAGATCATGTGCGACATCATGCAACGACTCACATCACGGTTAGCGCGATGCAAATGACCTTGATAATGCTGATGAATGCGTGGATGCTGCAGCTGCTGTTGCGTCTGTTGTTGTTGCTGCTGCTGCTGCTGCTGCGGCTGCTGCTGCTGTTGTTGCACATCATAATCGTAGTCCATGAGGCAGGCCTGCGTGCCAATCATTTGTGTGGCGGGCAGCGAGAAGAAATCTGTAAAATATAAATCTCTATGAGCATTTCTTTCTTATTTATTACACAATGTACAAACGTTGCAAAATATTTATCGAAAATTAACAATTAATTTAATTTATTATTTTTGAATTGCGTTTTTCGTATACTCCATAATGCCAATAGCAAGTGCCGACGCCGACTGTGCAGTCGGCGTCGACGCCAGCGCTGATAGTGTCCCAATTACCGTTCATTTATAAATAGCCGGCAAATAATGTAAGCACCGTTGACAGCGATGGCAACGGCGACGTCGACGCCGACTGCGACTGCTACGACAATGCCGCCAACGGTTATCGGTGCATCCCTCCGACCCCCTAACCCGCACAGAACTGCGAAGTTTTGTTTATAATTGCGCTGTTGTCAGCGATAACATGTGGAGATTGCCAATTAGGCACGTTGCTTAGCTGAATTTCAGCGATAAACGAGTTGCACAATTAAAAAAATAAAATAAAAACTAAAATAAATGACAGCTCATAAATGAGGTATAAAAGAAAATGCTATAAGCAAATATAGAACACTTGTCGATGGAGTCGATCAAGCAGCGACAACTTGTAATTTACTATTTTATTTATACCCTGTATTTGAAAACTATTAAATGGGGTACATTGAAATAAAAGACAGTTAAGTACAAATATTTAAATTGTCATTAAAGGGAGTGTTAACTCTTTTAAAATATATATAATATATAATATATTTAAATAGAACAGAGTTAATTCTCGCATTAGCTAGTAAAATTTTTTTTTTTATATGTGTCCATAAGTTTGTTTCAGATTTTAGAGTTATTGCGACTTATAAATGAAACCAATTAAAAATATATAAAGTTATTAATAATTATGTCAATCTATAGGGTATTTTCGGATTGAGCACACTCAATACATATATTTACTTTGTTTGCTATGAGGTCAGACATCGGTAGCCGTAAAATTGTAAACGCAACTGTACTAACAATATATATATGTATGTATGTATGTATGTGCAAAATACATTTGAGAATCGAATACTGCCAGAAAAGTAAAATGAAGTCTCTAAAATTTATTTCTGATAAGCGTGATCTCATTCATTACGTAGAGTCAATAGGTCCAGCCATAGAATAGGTATATATTAGACTGGGATCAATATGTGCATATGTGTGTGTATATAAAAGCCGGCAGCAGGCAAACTAGCAATAAGACACCAGCCGCGCAGGTCTTATCGCTTGAGGTTAAAGCTGTTTGATTTAATACACTTTCTTTTCGGCATTCTTTCATTTTATAACTAAATCAATACAAAAGATTTTAATTTAAAAGAAATAACAAAGCGGAAAGTAATAGTCTTTATTGCTGCAATCTCTTAAATTGTCTATTTTTATTAACATTTTTTGCAGTCTTTTTATTGAAAGCAAATTACATTAAAAACAAATCACCCACAAACGAAACATGCCATAAATGTGCATGTTACATTTTTTTCGTGCTCTACTTTGCTCCTTCGAGCTGTAATTTAAGCTTTGGGGTACGTGCAGTGATGTATGACAGCGTGTGAATATATATGTAAATATGTATATTTGTATATTTAATACAAGTGCTGATAACTTTTAATTGGTTTGCATAAGCTAAAATTAATAACGAGTTACTCAACATTGGGATTCCATAAGGAAAGAGTATCAGGAATGCGGCACTTGTTGACTATCGCGTGTCAGATAACAGAAAAAAAATCCAAATGTTGATAAGGATGACCCAGAAAACAAATATAGGCTCGCACAAAAGCGTTGCCAACAAGTTTCAAAATCTGATTTTGTAACACAATTTACGAAATTTTTTCCACCGCTAGCGGCAATTAAACATCGCTCATTTTGTTGCTGTGCGGTGTGAAAAAGTCAAGGCCAACCGCAAAAAAAAATTACATTAAATTAAAGGTTTTTAATTTATAAGTTGATATATGCGCATAATTACCGTTGCAATACTGTGCTACCAGATCGGCATCATCAAAACGGCACCGCTTGACGGCCGTCAAGTTGTCCATCTCCATGTCCAACTTCTCATGGCCCATCGTAAAGCAGCGCTTCTTGCAGCGCGCTGCTGCGGCAGCGTCGTTGTTAGTGTCGGCTGCGACGCCTACGTCGCTCACTTGCATTTGCATTGGCTGTACATTGTTGTTGTTGCAGCTGTTGTTGTTGTTGTCCGAGGCGGCAGCTGCATTGTTTACTATTGCATATCCATAGTAGCCATTCGAAGCGGATGCTATGTGGGAAACGACACGTGCATTGAATGGATCCACCACAGGTGAATGGCGCGCCGGAGACGGCTCAATTTCGAAGTTGACGGCAGGAGATTCACCATGTGCCCAACACTCGAAATTCGTCAATACCATCACGGATGCTATCGGTGTGTTCGGTGCGCAGTGGAAATTTACCAAGAATATATTGTATTAAGCGCACACACGCACAGACACAATTAAGCACGAAACCAAAAGCGAAACAACAAACACGTTGTGTATTGAACGACGCTCGCTATTCGACTGTACGTGCGGCGTTGCCGGCGGCGGTTGTACAACTGCAGCGAGCTGCTTTCAGTGAGTTAATTACTTCAAAATAGCAGCATCGGCAAAATTGTGGAAAAAACGACAAGTTAAATGAACACACGCACGCACACTAACACCAAATGAAACAACAACAGACGCTGACGCCAATTGTTAAAAATAAAAACTATACGCGATGTGTATCGATAGATAACAATAATAATCGATACAAGCATTTGCGATGAGATCACATTGAATGAAGCGAATGTGTATCGATATTTTATTCACAATATATATGTGCAATTGGTTTCGCAAGGAATTCCCTAGCGATATTTAATTTGTTATTATTTATATTTTAATGAATGACCCTACATATTCGCCTCGAACGGTATCCGATTATATTAAAAAAAAAAAATATTGCCACCTAGTCAAAAATATTCGATTGCAGCAGGCTGTTCAATCGACTATTATTGTCCAGTCTATCATGTGATTGTCACGTCAAAGAAACAATACAACAAATATTAAAAGCATTCTGATTAGCTCAATTGAAATATTCGAAGTACTTACCAGAGATGAGCAACAAAAGCAAGAAGCTAACTGTCGGCGGAAATGACGGTAGCCAAAGTAAACTATCCAAACAGCGTGCACATGTATGTAAACACGAATATTCCCATATTGCCGGTAGTATTTAATCGCATTACCTACGAATTTATAGGACTCGCAGGACTACAGCGCCTTCAAGGTTGTCCTCTTCTACTGCTCCCTCATAGTATTCCTGCCCGTTGTAACGTTCTTCGCGCTCAAAGGCTTCCTTCTCGAACGCTTCTTCACCATGTCCGATATGAAAGTAAACATTGGATCTGCCGTGGGCGCTGTGGCCGCACTGCACATTGCGCTGGGCGTGTATATCTATCGTGCCTACTTCGGTGGCTCGAAAACGTCCCAGTTTAAAGAAGACTAACTGCGTGGTTGCCGCTTTCGGGTATCCACGGCTGCGACTGTTACATATGTATCATTTCCAATTACAAAGTTTATGTTTTCGCTGCGTTCGTTTGTTATAAGCATTAGTAACATTAGCGTTAAGTAAACTAATTACAACTATCTAAAATAACATTCTTATTTGCGACTCTGTGGTGAGTGTGAGTGTGATAAATGACCTATAATCGTATACGTGTGTCGTGTGTAATCATTAAATTGCATAATTTTCGATAACAAAACACGCTCTCTACACGTTGTAAGTCTTTTTGGATCTGTCCATTCAATTGCTGTCAGTGATTTGTAACAAAATTGGTGTATTAAAAATAAATATTTAAAGGGAAATGCGTGCTTTATACGGCTGGAGCAAGAATATTGTGCGCAAATATGGTTGGATTAATGCTATTAAGAAACTGCTGCCAAAACAAACCAAATATATTTACAATTTAGGCGTTAAGTTTGAGCTAAGCGATGTGGTGAGTAACGGTTCCAACTGCCAGCTGGTAACATTAAAAAGCATACGATATTTATTGCTGTTTGGTTTGGCCATTTAAATTAGTTGGCCTTAGTACACTTAAAATTGACTAACAGTTTATTTCATTTAGAAATTGTAGATAAATTAAACGACTGATTCCCGCTAGAGATGAGCGATGGTTTATGTTAACAGCCGAGGTGAATTTGTAAATTGGTCATGTGAATAGCTACTTCAACTGTTAGTTGGGCAAACGCGATGTGGCAACGCCAATGTTGTTTTTGTTTGCGTCCGTTTTTTTGGGCCCTTTTAGTTAACGTTATTTATGAAAAATGCTAAAACATTAGTATTAATATGAATTTGAACGACTCCACTTCACAACTGACTGTAAATAAGACAAAACATATGCACACGCACATCTATCTAGTACAGTGACACAAACAAATCCGCGTCTGCAACCACCTGTACACACAAACAAACAACGCAGCATTAGACACGTATCAGTCGTAAATATGTTGCAGCTGCAAAGAGTGCCACAATATTTATGGCCCATATGCGTGCATACGGCTTTAATCGCCACACTGGTCACGAGGTCAACCACAGCCACATCATCATCAGATTATTTGGTGGGCCGCAACAAGGTAGCAGCTGCAACCGCAATCCTAACACCTGCCTGTGTGCCTGATAGTCGCATATATTTTATTTATTTTTCAACTGTTTCAGACCGTGTACAATCCCAGCCAGCTGTCCGATGGTCAATTTTTGGAGTATAGCAACCTGTCGGACAAACAACATCTGCGTGAAGCAATTAAAAATATACTTATACCTCGAGTTGTGGGCACGCCAAATCACGGAATTGTGCGTCAGTATATTGTGCAGAGTCTACGCGATCTGGACTGGCATGTGGAGCTGAACGGTTTTCACGATAACGCTCCCATTTTGGGCGCGTTGCATTTTACCAACATAATTGCGACACTGAATCCGAACGCCGAGCGTTACTTGGTGCTGGCCTGTCACTATGATAGCAAGTATATGCCGGGTGGTGAGGAATTTGTGGGCGCCACCGACTCGGCTGTGCCCTGTGCCATGCTCTTGAATCTGGCGAAGGTGCTGCAGGAACAGCTGAAACCACTGCAGAGCTCTAAGCTGAGTCTTATGCTGCTGTTTTTCGATGGAGAGGAGGCGTTCGAGGAATGGGGTCCCAAGGATTCTATATATGGTGCCCGGCATTTGGCAAAGCTCTGGCAGAAGGAGGGCAAATTGGATCGCATCGATATGCTGGTGCTGCTCGATTTGCTGGGCGCACCAGATCCCGCCTTCTATAGCTTCTTTTCCAACACCGAGCAGTGGTATATGCGTATGGCGGATCTGGAAACACGTCTGTCAGAGCAGCATCTATTCGAGCGTTATGTGAACAGCGGCGTTGCACGACGTGATCCTTCACGCTACTTTCAGCCTCAAGCCTTGAGGAACAGCCAGGTGGAGGACGATCACATACCGTTTCTGCGACGCAACGTGCCCATTCTTCATCTAATACCAATGCCATTTCCCAGTGTGTGGCACACAACAGATGATAACGAAGGTGTGATCGATTATGCGACCACAAACAATTTAGCGCTGATTATACGGCTCTTTACACTGGAGTATCTGTTGGGTGGCACAAAAGCAGCATGAAATCCCTCACAACTATGGAAAGCCTTATCATCCTGACCTGTCTGATACGCGGTATCGTTGCTGTGGCAAATAATACAATGGAAATGTTAATTGTTTACCTATTATTATATGGAACGTGTGTGTTTATATGTGTGTATATAGTTTGTGGACCTCGTTCCATTGTGTTGTGTGTATACAATTAATTTATATGTAAAACTGACTAACTTGTTGACGCAAATGCGTTCGAAACACTTAAACCAATCTAGAAATATTATTTTTATAAATATTTAGAAAATGTTAAATTTAAATGTGTATATAATAAATCGATCTAAACTCAACATTTATTTGCTTAACTATATCTTATTATACATATAAGACTTACAAGCTAGCTATTAACTTGTTAAAACTAGTTAAGCGTCTCACGTTAAAATGTTAGCTAGTCAAATTATATGGCAAATACTGAAATTATGCTATATATCAAATTATATGGGCCAACTTAACACCCGCACATGCAGATCTTTGGTTCTAAAGATTTCGATAACAAATGCAAATCTTTAGTTATCAGCCTGAGCGTATAGCATAGCTGCAGTAGCAGTTGTTAAAAATAAGCTTAGATACTAACTAAAATCGTAAAATCGCTGTACTAATACAATAACCTAAAGCTAGTGGACGATCAACAGCATTTGTTGTCCGTGCTTGTCGCCTCAGCCGGCAGGGATATGCTCGACGGAGACGAGGCCAACGGCGACTGCGTCAACTCCTCCTCCTTCTGCACCTTCTGTTCCTCTTGTTGACCTCTTAAAAGCTGCGCTACGCTCAACTCCTTGGGTTTTTCCACAATAACGGTGCTCAGTTCTGCGCAAGACTTGGTCGTGGACGGGCTTGAGATCGTCTTGCTACCATCCGGACTCCCGCTTACCTCCCGCAAGTCGCTGCGTGAATCGCGGCAGCAAACTTTCTCAATGCACTCGGCTGCCTGACACTGCATTAGGCATTCCAGCGATGCGGAGGCATTCTTATTGGTTGCTGGATAGAATTCGGGCTGTATGGTTACCGCCGTAATGCCCTGCTCATGAAAGTAGGCACGCACTTGCTCGATAATTTTCAGATAGAGCTTGGGATTCTGGAACTGGATGTGTATGGTGGCCACATAGCTGTGCGCGGCCAGCTGCCAAATATGCAGATCGTGATAGCTAACGATCTCCGGAAATTTGTTAACCAGCGTCTTCTCAAAGATCTCCAGATCAATGGAGCCGGGTATCGTTTGCAGTAAAATAAGGCAAGATTCTTTCACTGTAATTAGAGAAGAGATAAGTTAACATTTTGCTGTTATGCCTCGACTGTTAAGCCTTGATGCTGTTATAAATTTTGAGTACTGTTAAATGATATTATGTTATATAGCAATATGTGCTATAAATGTTATACTGTTATATGTAAACTAAAGGATGACAGTTTCCCAATTTCTACACCAGAGCTAAACATGTTATACTTACTGTATGGATAACTCAGTGAGACCAATAGCACACAAGAGAATATGGACAAAACTGGATCAATAAACTTGGCCGTATGCTCCTCATCTTCGGCCACATAGACAATGGCCGCACAGACAATGACAAACAGCGTGCTGGACACATCGCGCAGCATCTCCACAGCGCCCTGTCGCTTGGTCGTGAAGTAAATGTTGCCCACCTCCGCCTCCAGATCCTGGCGCAGCTGACGATCATTGCGCGACTTGCTCAGTGTGCGCTGCATGGGCTTCAGTGCCAAATCGGAATGACTGGAGATGGAACGCTCCAGTACAACATCGCCACCTGGCGTCAAATGCAGAAAGCTGCCCTGATGCAAAGTGTAGCCACCTATCAGCAAGTAGGTGAGGCCATTCAATACAAGACCCACACAGCCCAGCATCATAACGTGAATGGGCAAGTGCATCGTATCCTGATGATCGATGTGCACCAACGTCTGCAGCGCCTCCACAATAAGCGAGAAGGACAACGAGGCCAATATGATGAACACAATCAGCATGGTGAGTATATCGATGCGTGCCCAGCCAAAGGTATTGCGCAGCTTTTGCTCCCGCGACTCACGCTTGGCCAACTGCTGCTCTTCAGTCTCGCTCAGCGTGAGCACCACGGCTGTCTTTTCATCCGTAGTGCCATTACCCAAGATGGGCGCGGCTTTGGGTGCTGTTGGTTCCGTCTCATTTCGTTTGCTGTGCTGTTTAGAGAGAAGAAAACAGCATAAGACAGAGTTTAATTTTCTTTTTTTGGAAAAGGACTTTAGGTTGTAAAATTGGTGAATTCTGAAAGCTTTAAGCTACCCAGCTATACAAGTTTAGTTTTAAGTTTGAAATACTGAGTGTTAAGTAAAATTAGTATTAAAGCTCTATCTAAAAAGAATATTTATCTATGATTTATTTTGAAAAGGTTTAGAAATGATTTGAGACTTAACTACGAAACGAGTTAAAGCTAAATAAAAAGCTAAAGGTTCTCCTTGTTGAAGCTTTAAGCTTTTCAAATGAAATTCCAACGAACTCTGTAGGACTTTAAATAAAGCTCCATTTATATAGAAAACTTAAGTATTGTCTGAATGATCATATCGCTATATGGTACTGAGATCTTTGGCAAAATTGAAAGGAATTCGGTTCCAGGTTTAGAAGGAATCACTGCATAAATTTGAAAGCTGTCAGCATGACTTGCTCGATAAATTATTTACCAAAAATAAGACCTAAAGCACTGTCTATCAGTTCATTAGGTACGGCACTTGTTTAATTACCATGCCACCAAATTGTTGTCAACTATTTTCACGCTTCGCCTAACTCAGCCAAAGGTCTGTCTGTCTGTCTCTCTGTCTGTCTAGCAATTATATAAGTCCACAGCTTGAAGCTAGTCGTTTCACTCATTTCTCGCACATTGCGAGCCAACTGTTTTTGGCGGTATATTTTAGTTTTTTTTTTTTTTTGGCTTATAAAGCTTACGATATCTGGTTCGCTGCGTGGTTTTTGGCCACAAGTTTTGCGTAGGCTCAAAATTTTTACCTTTGTTTTAGCGGTATTTGGTTTTTTCTTTTTGTTTTCTCTAATTGTGAAACGTGCTTGGCACAAATATGGTCCACATGAATTTGCAAAGTTTAGCACTCATTCAAAATATTTCTGTTTGATTTAATTCATAAATTTGCATAAGTATTTCATATTTGGTTAAATACACGAGCCTCGAGGGTAAATCAGATGCATGGCAAATTGGAACTGTCATGAATATACATAAATATAATCAGATCTGGGACAGCCAGAAATTGAAAACGTATAGAGAATTGGATTTTTGTCATGAAAGTACATATTATTATGGGATCTGGCGTAGCTAGAAGTTGAAAAGTGTCGAGAATGGGTTAAAACCAATTCATTTATCAGTTGCAGCATTTTCTGTTTATCAGAGAATAAGCTTATCATAATCCCTGTCAAACACATCTTAATTACTTTGCCAGCTATTTTAGCACAGTTAACTAAACAAGCTGTTAACAACAGCAACTATCTGCCTTTGTACTAGGGGGGGGGGGGGGGCATAATTAATGTACAATTTACTGATAGCGCTAAACGCCCACGCAGGCCAGACAAACCTGGCCAAAGCACAGACATTTCTGTCGTAGGCCTCTTAAAATGATAATATATATATATTAATTTTTTTTAGCAATCTTATCTAATCATAACTTGGCGGATTGCAACAATATGTAGCATGATATCCTGTCGCTGCAGGCACACAAATACGAGCTATTTATCAAAATCATAAATCAATAATATTAACAAAATTTGAAACCAAGTCAAATATGAAACCTGTTTGCAAGCGGCCGCGCATAAAAATGCTCAGTTCAATGCACTGCATCAGGTTTCTCTGTTTTTTTTTTTTTTTTTTTTTTGAAATTATTATATTTTTTTAGGTGTTCAAATTCCGATTTGCCTATCAGTGCGGCTGGAAAACTTGTTCGCTTCCTCAAAGAGGAAGGCAAAAAAAAAAACATATATATATATAACAAAAAAATGTTGTTCCACTTACCTTAATCGTTACAATGCAACCGGCCAGTGCCAAGATGTTGCACAACATATGATAGGAAGCCATGAGGAGTGTCAATGCATGCGTCAAATGGCTGAGGACCAGTTGGAGCACAAAGTAGCACACGGATAGGATCAGTACCACGTAGAGCGGTATGGGCTGACAGCGCTGTAAGACCTCTTTGATGGGCATGTTTGCTGGCTCCTAAATCAGGGTCTGAGTACTGCAACGGAGATCGAAGATTGCAGAGAGATAATGTGAATTAGTTATATCAACTGGGGAGCAGTACGGAAATAAGTGACGAGGTTGTAAATCGCGTAAATCAAAAACTGTCAACGAACTTTGAGCCACATGGAACTAGATCAATTTATTGACTATGGCAATTTGCAGTTACTCCACAACAGATACAAAAGTGTTGCTAATTAGCAATGAAGCGACTGCATAAGATATTAATATAATTTGGATAATAATTTAAGCAAGTGTCAAGGAAACCTTTTAATACTTACTTAAGGTTCGTTATGAAAATCGCATAGAAAGGCGATAAAGAGATTGTTTGTAAGACCGCGAATAAGAAAGCTAGAGAGCGATGAAAAATATGATGAAAATTCAAAGTAAAATGAAAATCGCATAGAAAGGCAGTTCCAAGTTGAGCGATAAAAGGATTTTTGTTAAGAAGAAAATCAGAAAGCTGAGCAAAATAGCCAAGGGGGTTAATGACTATATCATTTAGATTGAAAAATGTGTAAAGGGCTTTCTGCTGCTTTAAGATTCTGTCTGTAGTTGAGTTGGCCTCATCAATAAAACTTCAATCATTATTCCCAATGCTCAATTGTCGAGATTAATTTTACATTGCAGCTCGATAAAGCCAAACGGTGTCAAGTTCAGATGTCTATTGAACTGCGTTTTATTATATATATTTAGATAGGTAAGGGTGTGTGTGTGCATGTGCATATGTTAATCATAAGGCTAGGCTCCAGATTTGGGCAGGTGGGTAACACAGGTAACGCCCCAGCTGTTCGCTGAATGGCTGGGCTGGCCTTTTCGCCTGCCTAGCATGCAAATGAAGATGAAAAACGAACCCAATCATCCAATAACCGACCGATTGTCAGGCTTGACATTGACGTAACATTACGTGACAATTGGATACGTTTAAGTGTAACCCAAGGTTAGCCCTTCCACAGATGGCCATAATTACAACAGTCACATACGAATTTAATTGATCGGATAAACCATGAAGTGATCGTTTAGACATTTTAGGGCCTACATATTTATAAGGCATTTCAAATAGTTAAACCCGATTCTAAGTACAAACAATGAGCCAAATTCGTTATCATATCAAATTTATCCAAGGCTTAATAACACATGTCTTGACATGTTTAAGCCCGTTGAGATATCTACTTATTTCTTCGAACTATCTTTAAGCCTTTTTATTTTAGAGACAACAGGCCTAGTTAGAAGCCTTATATCAAGTTTGATTTAAAATATGTAATTTTCTTTAGCAGTTTGTCTTATGCTAATAAATTAGATTATTAGACAAAAGTCTAAACTGAAATTTTTATTGTAAATGTCCAACAATAATGGCTAGAACGAAGGAGAAAAATCTGCAGAATTTTTATCTAAAATCTTATTCACAGCACATGCCAAGCCAAGGATCAAGATGAGTTAGTCTTGCAGTAGATCCATATCTTAACTAAGGCCCACACACCTTCAGTGCTACCCCAATAGGAACTATCTGTCTTGCAACTATTTTGTTATTCTAAGCACCTGCACCTGCCTGGTTGCCTCGTAATCCCTATATTTAACAACCCAACCTCATTCAGCTGTCACGGCCAAGCAGCTGATTGCATTTTAAACGCTTCATGTGGGTGTACAACAAATTGTTTAGATCAAAATGTACAATCTGGGCATTGCCGATCTATTGTTTTTTCCATTTCACAAATCGATTACAAAGCGTTAGCTAATGCCTCGGGCTGCCATAGACCCACATTTCACACAGCCCCCCAAAAAAAAGCTAAAAAAAAATAAACTATAGTTAGATCAAAAAAAATGTGTGGTATCCAAACACTGGCTGACTTGTGTACTGCCCATGCCCGTGCTCGTGATCCGCGGCTGCTAAACGTTCATTTCCTCAATTAGATTTCATTCTCATTGAATAAAGCACAATCCGAGCCGAGTGGGTGGTTGTGGCTCAGGCCGGGAGTCTGCTGCGCTACTGTATCGGCAAAGTGCTCCAATTGGGCTCGTTTGCGATAACAAAGGTGATACATGGACGTAAAACTAGTAGCAGACGTACGACATCTGTTAAGGCTTGCCTCAGCTTCGAGTAATTGGAATTTAACTATTTCGCTCTCTTTGCAAGTTAATTGTACGCTGTTTAAATGAAATCTTGTTATATTTAGGAACCAAAACTTTTATTAACATTTCTGAAAATATGTGACATAGCAGAGTTTGAACCAAAACTTGGGCTTCTGGATCAAGCCAAGAACCGCAGCTAGAGGTAGATCTAGGAACTACTTCTTGCAGACTTACAATGTCGCTTATAACATTATCTTTATATAGTATCCATATAAGAAATTATAAAGCTTAGTTCGTTAAATAGCACTTATCGAAACCGGCAAGTCCGTACAGAAGGATTATTAGTTATATACAAAGATATAACAGCCAATGCATTGGCACATACAACCCCACTGAGAGATACCAGAGGGCAAGTTAAAAACTTAATTGCAAGCAAAATATTGCATATAGCACGAGTGTAAATAAATGTTTATAGAATTGAAGAGAAAATTAAAAAAAAAAAAAAACGCAGTGCCATGAAACTAATGTTATCAATCTATAATTCCAGATGCGTGAACGACTCGACCTTGTCGACGTGTCCAAACTGGTCAAAATACAATATAATATTCAACTAAATGCGTTAACATTCCTGGACGGAGGGGTTACCCCTCGATTGTTCAATTAAATTGCTGTATACGTAGCTATAAACAAACGGGCCACGGACCGACGTAGAAGGATTTTCAAAATTGTCAAATAAAATTCAAACTTTTTTTTTGTTATTTTTCTGTTTTTATGAATTCGGTTTGTTGCCAATACAAAAATTAAATTTGTATGCAAGCATTGGCTTCGACACAAAGTTAACGAAAACAAACCAAATGATAAAATAAAACATGTACACACACACACACACACACACACACAAGATAACAACAACAACAAAAACCAAATCGAAGAAGAGCAAAAATATAATAAACAAATGTCGTTGAGCCGTGCATTAAAAATGCCACGAATTGACGAAATGATGAAGTGACTCGTTTTATTGATCTAATTGACAGCTGAAGTGGCAATTCTGGAAGACAGATTTATGGAAGTGGACTTACCCACAACCAGACTAACGAATTACTAGCACATATCTATATATGGAACTTCTAAGAGAGGGGCTTAAAATAGGCTCTGATTTGGTGACTAGAGCTATTTCTTTTCGTGTAACTCCATTGTAGTTCTCTCTCTACGTGCATGCATATATCGTATTGTGTTTATATATAGATTAACTCGATATTAGCCTGTTGCTGTTGGATAGGCCTGGAATCAGCATGGTCTAGAGGCCCCTAAATTGGGTTACTTGTTTTAAACAGAATTTTATATATCGTATTGAATTTGTATACAGATTTACTTGATATCGAATAGCCTTTAACTGTTACAAATGCCTAGTTTCTAATTAAAACTTAAGCCAGGCCCTAAAGTGAGTTACTTGTTCTAAGCAGTCAACTTTATAGGGTATATCGTATTCAGCATGGCCAAGTAGTTTCTAAAGTTCATACATTCGACTTGAGCTTGCATTGCAAGCTTTGGTTACCAAGTTTTATATATTATATATACTTTTGTTTATCTGTAATTGTTGCACCTGTCAAGCCGTAAAACACATTTCGTGCATTTCTCCATAACTGATAACTGATCAAATTGAAATACCTTTCTTAAATTTAACTCTTGCGACGTGAGATCTGCGCCTTTATCAATAAAAAAAATTTACTCCTGCAATCACTTTCTCCGGTGAAATAAAAAGGGTAATAAAATATGCAATTGTCATAATTGATAAATTGAACAATTCATTGGAATCCGTTATAATGAGGCAATTTCATTAGTTGCCTATCTAAATAGCTATTCAATTACAGTTAATGAGACTTGGCGAGTGCAACTAAATTGGTCTATACAAATTGCATAAGGTTTTTCAATTTTCCTAAAGTATTTGTAAAGTATTTAAATATAAACAATAAAACAAATAACAGTTAAATGTTGATTTGAGGCCATTTTTTCAAGGCCCGTTTCATAATTTGCATTGAATCGCAGCTGACTTGAGGCCCTCACACACACACACACACACACACTCTCTCACACACTCATACATATATAAAACTATAGTCTAGACAAATATGGACGCGAATTAACATTAATTTCGGGAACTCTTTAAATGACGCAGAATTTATATTTTTACTGTGTACATTTTTGATACATTTTCGTATTTTTGGTACCAAGCGCGCCCCGAAATAATCACTCGCTAAATGATTCCATTCATATTTGCTAACGAATCACTTGACTTTGTCGATAACACAGATACGCAGATAAATCTTCAGTTTTATTTTGGGAAAATGGAATATTTTTGTTTTGCCGGCTGCAAGGCACAAGCCCCCAGACTCTTTGGGCTCTTATCAACAGGCTCATAGATCTTAGGTAAAAAGTTTGTTCCAGGCAAATTTATAAACAAATTGTACATATGTCTAGTTGAAATGCCTTAGCTACATTGGTGTACGTAAAAATAGAAGCGCGTGGATGGGGAGAACATACTTAAATTATGTTTGTATAAAAATCACAAATTTGATACGTACAAATATAAAATATCTATTTTTAGCACTTCACAATTTGCGTTAGATTTATAATTTTTTGCACCGTTAACACAATCTATTTTATTTTAGTTCTTTTTTTTTCTTTTGTAATTTTGGAATTCAAATTTGTTTTTGGGCGTTAATTTTCACACACACGCGGCGACACCTGTTGGCCGCTAATTGCAATATTTGCCGAATGCGCTCAGACGACGTTCACGGCTGTGCGGCTCAAACTCTAATGAAACGCTGGCATCAAACCCGAACGCAGATCAGGCGCAACAACAATGATGATAATGGCATGGAAAGCAGTAAATGTACCGAAATAAATACAAATCACGCAGGCAACCGAATTGAAAGTGAGAGCATAGCACAGACAAGCAAGAAAGAGAGAGAGAGAGAGCGAGAGAGAGCGACACGTATGGGGGTGTAGGGTGTTGAGTGCGTGCGTTAGGTAGACGGGCTTAATCAGTGGGTGGAACAATGCCAAATAGATAGGGAATAAGAGTGAGGACTTGACGAACATAAAGAGGAACAGAGAGAGACTGCGGGGCAGAGAGGCAGCGCATGAGCGGACACGCGCGTTCAGGTTGTGGCTGGTCGTTGTCTCTGCCTAGCAAATTGATGTATGTTGTCTTTGCGGTGATTTGGGTTTATACGTGTAGCATATCGTTAGTATGCTTATGGCTAAACACAAACGAATTTTTCATATAAACAGTGCCATAAACTGTAAACATATGCTAATCTTGTAATCTCAGTGGCGTCAACTATTATCATATATTTTAGTTTATCAACAGCACTGCTTGTTGCCAGGAGCGAACTTATTAGGGCGCTGAAGTAGTCAGATTTTAGTTCAAATATTTAGTTCGTTGGTTTATTGTACTTCTTATCGACTATTCACTGCCGATAAGCGCACTGTTTGCTGTCGGAACTCAGCAGGTATATGTACCTAAGTTTGCATAGGTAAATAACACCGTATATATTTAACTTTATTCGGCTTGTACGTTTTTCTTTTAGCACACGATATTAGAGTCGCGACGACAGTAGAAAAGCAACTGACTGATGTTTTCAACAAATGTTTTAAGAATTCTTTCAGAGGCATACCGAAGGCGATTCGGCATGGAACATGTAATAAACACGCACATTAGATAAAACAGACGTGTGGTCATAGTAGCAATTTCGGTAGCGATTTCGGTAAATTATATTATAAGAACTTGTATACAAACAAATAAATGTCGCACCACATTGTTGCTAAACGTTTTGCATAAATAAATAAATGCATGATCGGTAGTAACCGCAAAATTTGAATTCTTTAAACTAATACAACTTATACAATCTGGCAGCACTGTCTACTACTGTCATCGATTAGTCGACCGACTACAACTTTAAGTTTGGTATTTCGATGTCAGAAAGTTGGTCACACTGGCCTGCTGCTGACATCTAAGGCTGTGTTTTCATTCTTCCGACCAGCAGACTAGAAATCTGTGTGGAAAAAGTTTAATAATTGCAAATTAATTTCTTGCTAGTTGGTATATAGTGCGCCACTGCATAATGGCTGCCATAGTACTAACTAGGAACATGCAGCTGGCGAGTAAGTAGCGTTTCGAGTCATTATTTGCGTGTCTCGCAAAAATTATGTAATGTCTGTTGCAGTTTTCCCGATCCTAATATTAATTAATATTTTGCAGAGCATCACGGCAGCGGTGTCGTGGGAGTGGTGTGCCTGCGCAGCTATAGTGCCGCCGCGGCTCCACCAGATGCTGATGCGCCACGTCCGTTGAAGACCACAAATCTGGCTGCCATGAAGCGCGGCACAGGCGGACGCAGCAGCTTCAACGGCATTGTCGCCACCGTGTTTGGTGCCACCGGCTTTGTGGGACGCTACGTGTGCAACAAGCTGGGCAAGTCGGGCACACAAATGATTCTGCCCTATCGCGGTGATGATTCCGATGCGAACCGGCTGAAAGTTTGCGGCGATTTGGGTCAGGTGCTGTTCCATTTCTATCATCTTGAAGATCCACGCTCCATACGGGAGGCCGTCAAGCACTCAAATGTGGTCATCAATTTGGTGGGACGTGACTATGAGACTAAGAACTTTAAGTTCAAGGATGTCAATGTAAATGGTGCAGCGCGTCTGGCCAGGTGAGCAGCTCAACAATATCCGGACTCAATTAATTTTTGTATCTCTTCTGTTTGTAGCATTTGCCGTGATGCCGGCGTGGAGCGTTTTATACATCTATCCGCGTTGAACGCCGAGGCTAATCCCAAGGCGCATTACATTTCGGGCGGCAGCCAGTGGCTCAAGAGCAAGTATGAGGGCGAGTTGATGGTGCGCGATGCCTTCCCCAATGCCACGATAATACGTCCAGCCGATATCTATGGATCTGAGGACCGCTTCTTGCGTTACTATGCACACATCTGGCGTCGTCAATTCCGCTCGATGCCACTGTGGCATAGCGGTGAGCGCACCGTTAAGCAGCCCGTATTCGTTTCTGATGTGGCACAGGCCATTGTCAATGCCGCAAAGGACCCAGACACCGCTGGCCGCATTTACCAGGCTGTGGGGTAAGCTCAGTCCGCACTTAATATAATTCTATGCTTACTCTTTAATTCAACTTATCTAAATTTGCAGTCCCAAGCGCTATCAGCTGAGCGAGCTGGTCGACTGGTTCCATCGCCTAATGCGCAAGGACCAGAAGCGTTGGGGCTATCAGCGTTACGATATGCGCTGGGACCCCACTTTCAAATTGAAGGTTAAACTCACCAACTTGATTTGCCCCGGTGCACCCATTGGTGGACTGCATCTAGATCGCGTTGAGCGGGAAGCCATCACCGATAAGGTGCTGCCCGGAGTGCCGACGCTGGAAGATTTGGGTGTGCACTTGACAAATATGGAGGATCAGGTGCCTTGGGAGCTGCGTCCATATCGCGCTGCCTTGTACTATGATGCAGAGTTGGGCGAGTTTGAGGAGGCGTCGCCGCCAAAAACTATTGAAGCGGGCGAGGAGCTGCGCTTGTTTGCCTAAACGTTGTGAATTGGAAAATCTTAGTGTGTTTATCAATTTAAATAAATTGTCTACAAATTAAACGAATAAATAAAACTAATTTGTTTAAAACAACTAAAAAAATAGATCTTTTAAATATTTGTCCGTGTCTGCGCGATTTAATACTATTTTTAAAACTTTAAGCTCGCACGCCTACCAACACTGTCCGCTGTGCGGCAAAATTACGCAATACTTGAATGGTGCTGCCAGATCGCGTAAATTCAGCGCAACCCTAAAGAAAATCAAAACAAAGCAACATTTCGACAGATGCAGGCAACACTTGCAAACATTTTTGAGGTAATTCTTATTTCCTAGCGGCAAAAGCTTTTGCAGTTTTCCTTCAACCTTACAAGCAAGCTGTGCAGGCTGTGCGACGCGGAAAATC